TTTTTTTTTTTTTTCACCAAACTGCCCGTGCACCTAAGGGGGCCACTTATGCGGTGAATTTTAGGCCGCTCCAGGGGCGAAATTGGGCCGCTCCAGGAAGCGCTTGCGCATTGTGCTCTTGGGCTTGGGCCGCTCGTGTGCCCTAGCCCTCACTCGATAGCCCGTGCTAGTACTCTCCGTTCGTGCGCCCATTTCGGCCCCACGTGTGGTCTGCTGCTTTTTTTTTTTTTTTACAAACCTAAGTACAACCCCCCCCCCCAAAAAAAATTCAAACCATTTCCATTTTTATTGTATATGTGAAATAAAAATAGCACTTCGAAAACATCTAAATGCTTAACAAAGGTATAATCTTCACGCGAAAACCACGGGTACTACTTTTCTCCCTAACTGTGTTTGTGACTTTCCTTATTCTACAACAGGGTGACAGACTAGGTTGATTCGGTATCCAGAATCAAGGCGCATAAAGCTAACTCAACTTATGGGGCTGTTATATAGAGTTCAAGCCGGGGTGATTTTGAAGCAATCTCCACACCCCTGGATATTTAAACCAGACTTTAGTCTCGAAAATTTCAAACCTTTGCATTCTAGACTTTGCCATTCAAACTCTAGTTTCCACCATTTTAGTTGGTCTCCTAGGAACTCATTACAAACACCGTTAGGTGGCTATACAAAATCGTCAGATGCCGTTTGAGCACGGCTAACACCAAAGGAATTACACATTTAGAGGATTTAAAGTCTCCTAGACTCAAAATAATTACGATGGAAGATATATTGGGTCCGTTAAGTGGATAACCTCAATCATCTCCCTTCTCTCAATACCATCCACATAATGTTTCAATCTTTAGCCATTGACCTTGAAGGTTGTACCATCTTGTGGATGTTTAATCTCAACCGCCCCATGCGAAAAGACTTTAACAACCTCATATGGGCCATCCCATCGAGACTGGAGTTTACCCTGAGAACAACCGCAATTTAGCATTGAACAGCCACACTTTTTGGTGAGGCTCGAAAGACTTACGGAAAATGTGTTTATCATGAAATGCCTTAGTCCTAGACATGTAAATTTTGGAGCTCTCATAGGCATCATTGCGGAGCTCCTCTAACTCATTAATTTGGAGTTTTCGACGGTTACCGACTTTGGCCATATCAAAATTGAACTTCTTAATAGCCCACAAAGCCCGGTGTTCTAACTCAATAGGGAGATGGCACGGTTTCCCGAACACAATCCTATATGGAGACATCCCGATGGGTGTCTTATATGCAGTGCGATAGGTCCAAAGTGCATCAACCAACCTAGTGGACTAATCTTTCCTATCGGGCCTCACAATTTTCTCGAGGATGTGTTTAACCTCCCTATTAGAAACCTCTACTTGACCACTAGTCTGAGGATGATAGGGAGTGCCAACTTTGTGAGTGATCATGTATTTGCACATCAATGCCTCAAAAAATCGGTTGCAAAAATGTTTGCCACCGTCACTAATTATGGCACATGGAAACCCAAAATAACAAAAATTGGTTTCACGGAGGAATTTAACCACAACTTTGTGGTCATTCGTTCTAGTGGCCACTACCTCAACCCACTTGGAGACATAGTCCATAGCTACCAAAATGTATTCAAATCGAAAAGATGGTGGAAAAGGACCCATGAAGTTGATGCCCCAAACATCAAAAATCTCAACAATCAAAATAGGGGTCATCAGCATCATATCTCGCGGTGACATAGAGCCCATGCGTTGACAATCCACACAAGCTCTACAGAAGTTATGGGCATCTTTGAAGATAGAAGATGAGTAGAACCCACATTATAAAACCTTGGCGGCCGTTTTTTGCCCACTGAAATGGCCGCCGCATGTGTAAGAGTGACAAAAGGTGAGAATGCTATGGGTTTCACTCTCAGGCATACAACGCCGAATCACTTGCTCCGGATAATACTTGAACAATTCTGGGTCTTCCTAGAAATAGTGCTTGACTTGTGAGAAAAATTGGTCTTTGTCTTGCTTAGACCAAGTTTTAGGAATTTGACCAACCACCAAGTAATTCACTATGTAAGCAAACCACGAAAGGGTCACTTGTGATACCGCAAAAAGTTGCTCATCTAGAAACGAGTCGTTCAAGGATAAAAGATCACTCGTGTGCTCAATAAAGATTCGGGATAGATTATCTGCAACTACATTCTCAGATCCTTTCATATCCCGAATTTCTAGGTCAAACTCTTGAAGGAGTAGAATCCACCTAATTAACCTAGGTTTGGTCTCTTATTTGGACAATAAGTACCGCAAAACAATGTGGTCAGTGAACACAATGACTTTAGACCCTAGGAGGTAGGACCGGAACTTTTTAAGTGCAAAGACAACAGCTAGTAACTCTTTCTCAGTGATAGTGTAGTTTAATTGAGCATCAGAAAGAGTGCGACTAGCATAGGATATAACATGGGGCACTTTATTCACCCTTTGGCCCAAGACGACGTCGAGGGCATAAATAGATGCATCACACATGATCTCGAAAGGAAGGCACCACTCAAGAGATTGCATGATAAGGGCAGTAGAAAGGGTTGCTCGAAGTGTTTCGAAAGCTTTCAAACATGCATCATCAAAGATAAAAGGTGCGTCCTTAGCAAGTAAACTACACAAATGACGGGATATTTTGCTAAAGTCTTTGATGAATCGATAGTAAAAACCTGCATGCCCTAGGAAAGGCCTAACTTGACGCACAAAAGTGGGTGAAGGAAGGCCTGCAATGAGGTCAACCTTAGCTTTATCTACCTCTATACCTCTAGGGAACACAATCCCTCGCGAACCATAAAATGGCTCTTCTCCCAACTCAAAATCAGGTTTGCCTCAATACATTGTTCCAGCACTCTAGTCAAATTTCCTAGGCATTCCTCAAAAGACGGTCTAAACACCGAAAAATCATCCATGAAAACTGCTAAAAATTTCTCCACCATATCGGAGAAAATGGCCATCATACACCGTTAAAAAGTCGTTGGTGCATTATATAGCCCAAAAGACATGTGCTTATAAGCAAAAGTGTCAAAAGAGCAAGTGAATGTAGTATTTTCTTGGTCAGTGGGATACACTGAGACTTGATTATACCCCAAGTAACCATCAAGAAAACAATAAAAATCCTGCCCCGCTAACCTTTCAAGAATTTGATCAATAAATGGCAATGGAAAATGGTCCTTTCTAGTCATGGAGTTTAGTCTTCTATAATCAATGTACAGTTACCACCCAGTAGTAGTTCATGTGGGGACCAACTCTCCTTGCTCATTCTCAACAATAATGTTGCTTGATTTCTTGGGCACCACTTGTGTGGGACTCACCCACTTACTATTTGACATGGGGTATATAATACCCGCATCTAACAATTTCAACACCTCATTTTTCACCACCTCTTTCATATTGGGATTAAGCCTCCATTGCATTTCATGAGAAGGTTTGGTATCCTCCTCTAGATGTATATAATGCACACACATGGAGGGATCTATCCCTCGTAAATCAGCCACCGACCACCCTATAGCATTTCGATGTGCCACAAGAACACTCATTAATTGACTCTCATGCTCTGCAGTCAAGTCAGATGCAATGATGATTGGTAAAATATCTTGAGGCCCTAAAAATGCATACTTGAGTGTCCCGAAGTGGCTTCAACTCAAGTGTAGGTGGTGTAACTAAGGATGGTATGACAAGCTCCCTAACCAAAAGAGGAAGGGGCTGAAATCGGGCTTTCCACGGAGGAAAATCCGATATAAGAGGAGAATCAAGTAAAGCATTTACTTCCTCAACTAATCTATCTATATTAAAATCCTCAAACCCAAAATAAGCTAAACAAACCTCTAAAGGGTCCTCTACAAGAATGGAGGGTAAAGCCTCCTCTATTATCTTCCCTACAACATCTACAAATAAACACTCCTCTTTATTATGGGGTTGTTGGGATGATTGTAAAACGTTGAGTTTCACTTGCATATTCCCAAATGAAACTTCCATAACCCCGGTATGACAATTAATACATGCATTAGCCGTAGCCAAGAAAGGTCTACCTAAGATCATCATAATTTGTTTCCTAGAGTTGGCTATTGGTTCTATATCTAAAACCAAAAAGTCCATAGAAAAATAAAACCTATCAACCTTTACTAGCACATCCTCAATCATGCCACGTGGCACTTTGCAGGACCAGTCAGCCAACTTGAGTGTGACAGTAGTGGGCTTCAACTCGCCAAGCTCGAATTCCTCGTACACAGAGTACGGCAACAAATTGACACTAGCCCCTAAATCTAACAAGACCCCTATCAATGAAATGGTCCCCTATAAGGCATGCAATGGTTGGGGCACCAGGGTCTTTAAGCTTAGGAAGTGTGTCACTCAATAAGATGGATTACTTGCTCCATGACTACGACTTTTTGGGACACATGTGTCGTAGATTTACGCTTTTGCGTACGAAAGTCCTTCAAAAATTTAGCATAGGAGGGTACTTTCTTAATCGCCTCCAATAGAGGAAGGTTGATTTTAACTTGTTTAAACACCTCCATCATTGTTTCCATGGATGCCACTTTCTTATTAAAAGGGGACGGTGTATCAAGGCATTGGGGAAAGGGTGCCTTAGGCACATATGGTACTATAATCACAATTCCAGCAATAGCTGAAGGAGTTGCAAAACGAGAAAAATTAAGCTAACGTGGTAACACCAAAAAATTAGCTAAAAATACTCAAGCATATAAATATTGATAAAAAAATGAATATTACCTGTTCCGAGAATCAATATCAACTTCCTTCTTTTTGAAACCACTATCAAGGAGAAAAACATCAGTTGGATGTTTAAAAATAAGGGGAAAAAAGAGAAGTTGAATTCAAAGCAAGTTACTTTTCATGTCCTGGATGCACTTGAGCTTTATTAAACGATAAACCACCTTTAATTAAAGAGACTTAGCTTCTTTCTAGTCCATTATTTGGATTGAAGGGTGTCATTGGCTCATTTAGACTAGAGGGTGTTGTTGGCTCACTGTGGGCCCTACGTTGGGTCCACTTCGATTATTCAAATAGTTCATTTGTAAGGCTTACTAAGAAATTATTATTGTAAAAAAACAAATTGATGGTAACCACATGATTGGATCACAAAATTATTCCCAAAAAAAAAAAAAAAAAAGGATGGCAAATATGATTTTAAGAATAAGATGTTAATTTTTTTTTCTTTTTTTTTCATGATTTTATAATTCAATCATATAGCTACCGATGTTTGATCAACCTGATTTTTTTGTATGAATAATTTTCTTGTGAACCTATAAAATAAACAATTCGAATTACTAAGATGGACCAAAATGGGTCCACAACAAACAAACTATAGCTAATCTATGTTTTTTTTTTGCTCCTTAAGATAGAACAAAGATGAATAGCTTTTTTTCTCTAGTGTTTGCTTGCCTAGAATTTTGATACCTGAGAAGAAAAGTAAATAAAATACGTTGGTAAATAACTTCACTCAGCTAATTTGTTTGAAGAACGTAGTATTTTTTCTTATTTTACTTAATATTTTTTCACTTTTTCTTGAGGTTTAGGTGTATTCCATTTCAATATAGTTTTAAACTTAATTTTCTTGATGAATTTTCTTTTTTTTTTAATTCATTATAATAATTTTAAAAATGCAAAATTGTGGTTATTATTTTTAATATAGTTGCACGCACATTTGCCTGACCACTAGTTTCTAATTGAAAGGCAAGATTGAAGATTTTTGGATAGGGTTTTTGGATTAATTCAGAAACAATAGTATGCTTATACAGAAATTCCAAAGGTGTTTCCTACTCACCTTCATTGACCCATCATTGACTTCTAAAACCCTCTCTCAGTATTCTTACATGAAAGTATCAAGAAATTTCAATACCTCAAGGACCCAACCAAACCCCAACAGTTAAGTATTTCACAGAAACTTAAAAAAGTGTTGACACAAAAACAAACTATGATATAGAAATGGGTACGTTTTGATTGGCTGAAATTGGCAAATGAAAACCTTGAAAATTGAAAACCGAAGCTTACATGAAAATCTAAACTCTGAATTCAGGTTGTGAAATATTGCTAAACAAACAATACTAGGCATAACGGCAGGTCATTAATTTGTAGTTATGTCAATACCTTCATTGGTTGCACAGTGAAATTTCTGGTTGTCATTTTGACATTGACCTCCTCCCTTGTAACACTCCTGACAATCCTCAGACACGTGCAATACGAGAGAGAAGTTATCGGTTAACAGATTGAATGGGTCACTGACATTAGGATTCGTGTTTGATGAATTCAGGGGCAGCTGAATTACTGAGCAGCTAGGTGGAAGAGGAGCAGGAAAGGATAACAGATCATCATCTGGATATTTATAGTACAAATTGTAGTCTTCGCAGTTTGTGTAATTATGAAAATCTGTGAAATGATCTTCTTTGGGGGAAACAGGATCAAAATTGTTGTTGCATTTGAAGAAGGTGAGGTGTGGACTGATTGTAAATGAAATAGAAGGGTTGGGAAGACTCAAATTCTTGAAGACATCACAACTTTCATTTTGTAAATGGGTTCGGAGAAATTTGTCATGGATTTGGAAAATGTAACCGGATAAGTTTTCCTCTATTGCTTCTACATCATACCACGGCCCTTCATTTCCCAGTTGAATTTGTGGAGGTTGATTCGGTTCACAAGTTACCGTGCACAACCCACATTGGGAATACGTAGAATTGGATAATGGAAAGCTTAGTGGTTGATGGAATGGTTTGCAGTCGAAGGATTTGGGACAAGTAATCTGGATTTTGTTGTCTTCTTGGGCCGAGAACGAGTGAAGAAGAAGAAGAAGATGAGAGAGGACAAAGAGAGAGAGAAAGAAGGGAACATCCATTTGAAAGTGGGAAATTCCCAGAAATAATTAAAAAACAAAACAACCACACACAAAAGCGTAAACAAAACAAACAGGAGTGAAATGATATTCCTAAAAACTCATCAGTTTTTTGAACTTTGTGTTAGTGCAGAATTCAATATAATTTAGAATAGATGATGTTGAAAGATCTGCTCTGCTCAACACGGCAGTTGACTTGAATGATCCCAATTGGAATGGTCTGTCGTGCAAAGACCCCAAATGCAAGAGTTTCTTTCTCACTTTCCTCATTTTGATTTTTGAGTCCGATTTTATTCACTCATCCACACTCTTCTCTTATTGCTTAGAACAACGAGGTTCACTGCTTTAAATGGGTCCACCTCACTAGTTTTAACAATCAAAGAGAATGGTCGACTGCGTAAATACTTCAATATGGTGGTGGTTTGATGCGGTTTATTTAAGTTGCTTATAGTTTTATATACTCTTTTTTGTTTTAAAATATTAGTTTTTTATTTTGTTTTTTATTGTTTTAAAATATAAGTTCCTTTTCAAAAATTAAGGAATAAAAAAATATGAGTTTTTTATTTTATCTTTTTTTTTTTAATTTATTAACAACACGAAAAGTACAATTATGACAATCGATATTTCTAAAAAAATATTATCAAAGGGCAATTTCTAAAAAAATAATATTTTTAAAGTGTAATAATTGTACTATAAAAAAAATTAAATTCCCCCAATAGGAATTATTATTTTGGAGCGGATGGAGTATATATATTTTTGAAGACATCACAACTTTCATTTTTTAAATGGGTTTGGAGAAATTTGTCATGGATTTGGAAAATGTAACCGGATAAGTTTTTCTCTATTGCTACTACATCATACCACGGCCCTTCATTTCCCAGTTGAATTTGTGAAAGTGGTTCATCACAAGTTACCGTGCACAACCCACATTGGGGATACGTAGAATTGGAGAATGGAAAGTTTAGTGGATGATGGAATGGTTTGCAGTCGAGGGACTTGGGACAAGTAATCTGGATTTTGTTGTCTTCTTGGGCTGAGAACGAGCGAAGAAGAAGAAGATGAGAGAGGACAAAGAGAGCAAGAATGAAGGGAGCAGAAACTGCCATTTGAAAATGGAAATTCCCAGAATTAATCAAAAACCAAAACAACAACACACAAAAGCAAAACAAAATAAACAGGAATGGAATGCTCTTCCTTAAAACAGGGGTTTCCAGATGACGTCAAAGATCTGGTCAACATGGCAGTCGACTTGGATGATTCCAAGCAGCTCTATTTCTTCATTGGAATGGTCACTGAACAAAGATTACAAAGCAGGAGTTTCCGTCTCACCTTCTTAATTTATTGCTTCAACTAAGCCTACCACACTATTTACGAAGGGATGTATCATAAAAATAAAATTTCGTTACAAACCATTCTAATTATGTTGTGAACATTAAAAAATCTGGTAAATTACATTTTACCTTTTTATGTTTGATTATTTTTTCATTTTAATTCTTAAAGTTTATTTTTTTCGCACTTTAACTCTTTATATTTCAAGTTTTTCTCAGCTTATTTCTATATTTAATTTCTGTTTAAAATTAGACAGAAAATGCCATAATAATTGTCATATAATATAAAAAAATATATTACTATATTATAGTTTAAATTTATGTTAAAAATGTGAGTTATATATAGTAAAATATTTTTATGCCACGTGCCTGTTAATGTATCATTTTTTGTATAATTTTGAATAAAAATTAATTTTTATGAGTAAATTAGGAAAAACTTAAAACATGAAGAATCAAAATGAGAAAAAATAAATTTTAAAGGGCAAAGTAAAAAAGTGACTAAACATAAAAGAGACGTAGTGTAATAATATAACTTACCCTTAAAAAGTCACATATTATTCTAAGTTATGAAATATTATAGTTCTAATTATGAACTTTGTGATTATGTTCTAAATATTAAAATGTTATCAACTATTGAGATGAAAAAAATTATTAACTATTATGGTTTTGTTACGAATGATTATAGTGTCATTACGAAAGGGTATACCATATGCCAAGTGGCCAACTTGTTGATTGCAATGGGTGGTTGGCCAAAGACTCCATAAGTGTTTCCTACTCACCTTCCTCAGTGACCCATTGACTGCTAATACTCTCCCTCACTTCCGCAGTATTCTTCCATGAAAAATGAAATTATCAAGAATTTAAATACCTCTAGCAATCAAGAATTCTGAATTATTAGCTAAATTCACCCCAACCAAACCCAATTTAGCTTGCTGACAATTAGACTGCATTTGGATCATGAATTTAATATATTTAAAAAAGGGTTGACAGATATGACACAAAAACAGATTACGTATAGAAAAGGGAACCGCTTCATAGTCTGATAGTCCCAAATGATGGTTAAATTAATCCTCCAAGTCATTAAAAAAAAAATACAACAAAAATAGTACCCATATGGACTGAAGACTCTGAATTCAGGATGTGAAAATTGTGAGGCCTTTCAGATTTCGTGTTGCTGTGGAAATCATTGATTAAGACAACCATCTGAGGCTGAACCAAGTAGTCCAGAAGTACTTTTTCTGTTGCGTTTGAACAATGGAGAGAGAGATTGTATGTGAAATAGAAGGATTGTTGAGAAAATTCAAATTACCATAATAATCACAAGAAGTTACAGTGGAAAAATCCACATCGGGAAAACTTGGTTTCAGGGCCGGCCCTGAGTTATTAAGCTCTAAGGCGAATCTTTTTAATTGGGCCTTTTATATATCAAAAAAAAAAAAAAAAAAAGAAAAGAAAAGAAAAGAAAAAGGAATCTACTTTGGGAAAGGAAGAAGAAAATAAAATTGTGACACCAATGCTCTTGGCATAAGATAGTAAATATTTTGGAGCTTAATTGCTTTCATCCTGTGTCCTCTGTAAGTTTTACTTTGATCTGGTTCATAATACTTCTAGTCTGTGCACGTTATTTGTGCAGTTATGGAACCTAAGCTCACTGATGTCCAATAACATGATTTCATCTAGGGTCGCTTTTTGGGTATTGGTAAAATTTCAGTGATGTTGGGCTGGTTGGTAAGTTCTTATCCTCTCATGGTAGAATGCGTCTTCCATTCTCCCATTTTGCAGAAAATGGTACTGTGTTTGACATTTCTGCATACCTCTGATCCAATGATGCCTAATGTTTCTCCTAAGACATTGTTTTCACCTTGATCTATTATTTTCTTTAATAGTAGACCTTCATGATGATATGGCACAAACTGGAACTTTTTGTTGGAAATGGTTATAAAATTCTGGGTAAAATCAGAATTTTTTCTTAAGTTTGGTTTATTTTTTAGGTGGGCCTCGTGCGTCGATTTTCACTGGTCAAAGTGGTAACGCGTTTTATGCCGCGTTGTGATTCACGTGATATATTTAGTTGCTCAAAACCATTACCGAGTGAATGAGAAATTGAAGCCAAAGTATGCTCCATGGAAATGGAGTTTTGGTGAAAAATCCTTAAAGGTATTGAATAAGGCTTGTCTCACATTGATTTGGTGGGAAGTTTTAAATGGGTTTATAAAGCATGGGTTTGGTACTTGGGGTGTACCCCAAGGGGTACCCAAGTGTTTTAGAGGGGAGGTTATGGGCAAAATGGGCTAGACCCATTGGACCCAAAAAATCACCACACGCGCGCGCCGCCGCTGTCCGTTCGGTCGGTCGCCTAGGCCTGGGCTTGGGTGTGTGGTTGGGTTGGGCTTGTTCGGCACAATACTAATCTTTTTGGGCCAAAAACATTTGAATTTAATTTTATTTTTGGACCGGTTTTACTGTACATCCAAACAGGTCCCTTCCCGTTTTTTATCTGTTTGAATTATAAACCCAACAGATTCAAATCTGTTTGAATTCAAAACTAATAGGTTTGCACTTGTTCAATTCAAAATCTGCAGCCACCATTATATCTATAAATAGGACAACCCTCATTTGATGTTAGTTATTTCGAAAATTCATTATTTCCGTCCTTAAGAGCTCTGCAAATTCATTCTTCATTTTGTTGCATTATTTTCTTGTAAGAAATAGTGTAAACACTTAGTGTGTTCGTAAGACAAACAATTTGTAGTGCTGCTATTGTTTGTAGTAGATCATTTTATCCAGGGAGATAGACGTCCAAATTCTGAAAGCACCGAGGAGATGACGAATCTTTCTTAAGGACACAATGTCAAACACTGGACTTGATCAAATAATTATTCAAAGAAATTAATCAAGTAAGTTGTTTAATTTATTATTCTGTTTTATTCATTTATTTAAATCAGATTTTAATTTTATTTTTGTAACAAAATAAAATCTGCTTTTATTTATTTATTTGTATTTCTAGTTTGATTTTTGTAATCAAACAAATTCTCTCATTTCTTTTATTTCTTTATATTCTGGTTGTTGTTTAGTACACAACAGAATTTAAACTATTTAAATACAGTGAAGATTGTCCAACAATCTTAAGACAGATTATTTTTAGTGTCTTCATTGTATTTAATTTTCTGTGTTTTCAAAGTAATATTCTGGTTGGAAAAACAAATAGTGGTTTATGCTATTTGACAGATAGTAATAATACTGTCTCTTTTCTTTGACAACTAGTAGTAATATACTGGTGTCATTAATAATTGTAGAATATTAATTTGTGTTACAGAAAATTATTGTGATATTTTATTTTTCTAGTTTTAGTAACAAGGAAAATAAAATTATTTTGTGTTATAATTTAGTTTCTGGTTTTAGTAACTAGAAAATTAATTTGTGTTTTAATTTTTTCTGATTTTTGTAATTAGAGATTATGGCTACTGCAACTGAAACTGCATCTGGTAGTGGTACTCCGATTGTTACACCAACACCGGTCCCTATCCAGAACCATGTTCATGTACCAATAAATCATGGAGAAAAATCGAAAAAATTTAACGGTACTGAGTTTAAGAGATGGCAGCAGAAGATGCTGTTCTATCTTACAACTCTAAATTTGGCCCGGTTTTTCCATGAAGAGGCTCCAGCACTTAAAGAGGGTGAAAGTGATCGACAAGTTGTTGCCGCTGTAGATGCTTGGAAACATTCAGATTTCCTGTGCAGAAACTACATCCTCAATAGCCTTGACAGTATGTTGTATAATGTATATAGTCCTTTGAAAACAGAAAAGGAATTGTGGGATTCTTTGGAGAAGAAATACAAGACAGAGGATTCCGATACGAAGAAATTTGTTGTCGGTAAATTTCTGGACTTTGTTATGGTAGACTTCCAAACGGTAATTTCTCAAGTTCAAAGTTTTCAATTAATTTTACATGATATTCATTCT